ATATATATATATATATACATATAGCTCTTCCGCATAAGATATGATAACGATAGCGGCGTCAATTTTATTTGTCGTCCAAATTCATTAAAGAGCATATTCAGTAAAAAGTTTTGACTTTAAATCATTTCGAAGTGTAAAACATGGAGGTAAAAGGTAACAAGACAGCTATACTGACAATGAAGATTTCAGAATAAACATTAACAATATTTATATTTAATCCGCATGTGCGGGTAAACTGGCCAAGCTACAATGAGCAAAATAAACTAAAACCCAGGACCTCGGTTAACTTACTGGTAGTTAAATACCACTTAACGTTCACTGAGCTGTCTGTATTCTAGTTTTTTTATTCATTGGAGCTTGAGCTGGAATCAGCAATGGTATCTGCCCATTTTTTAATGGCCTTGGAATGCTGTACGRCAGCCTCAGTTGCTGCCGAAATCAATCCCGTCAGCGACTCCAAAACCCCTGAAAGCTTTTCCTTGTTGTTGCTCTTTCTAATTCTTGGGCAAAAATAGAAAATTTTACCTTTGTCGACAGAACATTTTGTTGTATATTTTAAAATTTAAGTAATTACATTATTACAATTTTTACTTTACCTCTTGGAGGTACTTTCCCTTTTGGAGGAATTAGATATAAGCTATCATCTGAACGTAGATTATATCATGTATGTGTCCTTTACATTGATTAGCTCGCAAAGGTACCGTGGTGCGAGTCCATGAATAGCTTTGGAAGTCATTACTATTTTCTTAAACTGAACACGTTCCTCTACTGGCAGCCGTGTAGTGACTGCCAGACCACCAGATATATACATTTCTCGTTTCCTCTGATCTAGCTGTTCTCGGTGTGTTACTCTCACATATCTCTCGGGTCTACGAGATGAATATGGCTAATTACCTTTGTTCTCGGTATGTAACTGTCACCTATCCCTTGGACCTGCGGGATGAATACAGTAAAAACCCGCGTGGAAAGAAATAGATTTTTCCAAGTTACCCTAAAATTGTTCWTATATATATATTTTATATATATATACAGCCATTTGCAAAAATTATGGCCGTTTCAAATATACACACAAATATATCAAAAGTTTATCAGACACGTTGGGATATCTTTCTTGATATTTTTTCAGAAAACCCCCTAGTGATAGACAACTCGGGAAAAATATCAGGGATGATATCCCATAATTTTTGATATATTTTTGATATACTTGTATGTATATTGGAAGCGGCCATAATTTTTGCAAAAGGCTGTATGTATATATATATACAGCGATATGCAGAAATTCTGATCCAACCAAGTATATAGTATATAACTATATCGGGTGCATTTAAAAAAGGGCAGCTCTAGGGGAAACCCCTTCAGCCTTAACTGCACTCGAATCCTTCAAAGTAGGTTTGGAATTCTAAAATCAAACCGAATTCCTGACACCCTAGGCTCTTTCGAGCAAGTCCTGGACCAAGAGTGAAGAGTAAGTTCTGGGGGGGATGGGCATCCCAGCATAATGACCTTCTTAAAAAACAGGTTAGATATATATGTATATATATATATGGCGTTTACTGCAAAATTAGGCTATTTAGGTTCTTATTTATCTTCTTACAGGTTCTTATTTTCTTAAGAATAAAGCGACTGGTTTTTGGTAGTAGTGGTCTCTTGTTTCTGTAAATTATGCATACATTTTCACCAAATGACTGCAATATAAGCAAATGCAAACCCTATATGCAATTTAAAGCTATATAGTGTGTAATTTACTTCGTAGAACTTATTTTCTTATATTTTTATATATTTTTGTTTTGAATCTATTTAATAAAATAAGAACGTTCTTTGAAATTCTAGCCTAAAACAGATTCCTATGTAAAGGGGGTCAAAATGGTAAATTTCCTGCAAAAAGATTGAACTTTTAAAAAGAATATGTAACGACGTGCTAAGTATCACTAAAATAATGTTTTCATTCATTAAGTTTTATTTATTTTTATTCATTTTCTTTTTGGTCATATTTTCTTTCGTACCTTTCTGATATTCCGTTTTTCTTTTTCCCCTTTTCTTCTAATTTTCTTACATTTAAAATCGGGAAGATATTTCTATTTAGATGACATGACAATTTTGATTAATTAAGGTTTAAATAACAGTTCAATTTTAGTTAAAACTGTTTTGGTGTGTGCAGCTGTAAATTCAATATTTATTTGACATGAATATCACTATTGCATTTGAAAACCGATATCTGAGAGTATGAGTCATTTTAGTAAAAATTTTGAGATTTTAGTGAGTTTGACCGAGAAAAAGCCATTTTAAAGTTGAATAGAAATAAAGAGTTTAGGACGTCTCTTTGGTAATGGATTATTTGCTGTCTTTCTTCATTAATTTTTAATTAATTGTATTTTAAAAATCTCTTGTGCTCAATTCGGAAAATGACAGAATAAGAAGAGAGAGAGAGAGAGAGAGAGAGAGAGAGAGAGAGAGAGCAACTTCTGAGAAGAGAAAGCCATGGCGTACATAAAACAAGCAATCATAGTGCTATTCTTGATTTTCTTGCATATAGCTTTTATCAAAGGTAAGAATACATAAAACAAGAGAATTCGAAATAAACTATTACGAATGAAAGGCTAACGCTTAAACTAAACATGCTAAAGAACACCTAGCTGTAATATCGTAATACAATCAAAGGTAAGAATACATAAAACAAGAGAATTCGAAATAAACTATTACGAATTAAAGGCTAACGCTTAAACTAAATATGCTAAAGAACACCTAGCTGTAATATCGTAATACAATTAAATACTTAGTTTTTCTAATATATTTATTTGTATAGGTAATAGGACTACATGCTGTCCAATTTGGAAATAATTGGATGAATCAAATTCCGAGGACAAAATTGGAAGAGGCCGATCCGGTCGAGTCCAATGCAGAGGAAGTTTTTGAATTCAATTACTTCCAAATTGGACAGACATGTAGTCCTATTGCAGATTAATTATATCATCCCTGATGGCTGATCCCACTAAGTTATAGTTTTCGCTCGAAAGAATGCGAATGGAAGCGATCCAAAGTAATCTTTAATTGGGCAGGAAAGAGAATTTGAAAATAATAAAATATTCGCTTACTTGGGATTATAGAGTGATGATACAATTAAGTGGGTAATTAGGGGTACAAAAACCTACATTTTTGCAAGTTATCCTAAATATATCAAATAGGTTATTATATATCGAGTGTTTAGTGTGTAGTTTGCCATTTTATTTTAGTCATCGGTTTTAGTGTTTCCTATAATGATCTTAATAGTACTCTAAACCTATTATTTTACCCTGTCCAAATTATGGTACCCTGCTGGCAGTCTCCTTGAAAAAAAAAATAATAATAATAATAGATAATATAATAACTTTATTTTTATATAGCGCCATTTCCATTTCTGTCCAATGGCGCTTTACAAATTACGCTTTACGAATTAATTAACAAAAACGTGTAGAGTTATTTGCTATTGTTTGCAATGTGTTGCCCGCGCTCAAGTATAATAACCACTGTTTTGTACAAAAAAAAAATAAAAAAAAATAGAAGCATATAGCTGCGATTAGACATTCGACGCTGGGCTCGAAAAATACGGCCGCTTTCACTCGTAAAATTAGAAGGCTGTGATAAACATTTGGCAATGTTATAACCTCCATATATTAAGAAATAATTTTATATTACTGCATTTATATTTAAACAAAACTGGATAATTTATTTCTTTGTATAAAGTAAAGACTGACMTTTTTGATATTACTATATTGGTTTACAGTAAACCCTGCGTTTGTTTGCGTTGTTTGGGCACCGCAATCAAGCTCGAGGGATATCTTACTCCTCGAACGTGTCCAGCGCCACAAAATTTATTCTCAGGTGCCAATCAGATCTATCTTACAAAGACAGGCTTGTCAAACTTAACCTACTACTACTGTCTTACTGGCTTGAATATTTAGATCTCCTATATTTTTTCAAGTGTCGCCTTAAGGTTAATAATATTGATCTATCTAAAAAAGAAAATCTACTAGCTTTAGCTGTTGTATCACAGCGTGGGACAATCACAACAGAGCTAGGCTCCAAACTAGGTGAAAGCCCAAAGATCGAATTAGAATTTAGTAGTTGATTTTTGAGGAGGGAGGAAAACCGGAGAACCCGGAGCAAAACCCTCGAAGCACTGGAGAGAACCAACAAACACTCTAACTCGGGTCACATTGGTGAGAGGCGGCACATTAGCAGCGCACGCCACCGGTGCTTCCCATATTTAGTTATGTTACCCCATGTTCGCTTTCATCCAGATCCACAAGAAGCACTATCCGTACAGACTACAGGGTTAATTCATGCAAAACGTCTACCTACAGGGATTCCTTTTTCCATCGTATTGTAGTCTTGTGGAACTCGCGGCCCTTTATGATTAAGTCTTCTAATTTAGTTTCGTCTTTTAAAACACTGCTGCGATCTCACTATTTTTCTCTTCCTTTCCGCCGTTTGATCATGATTGTATCAGATCTTATAAAACCGTTTGTTCCAAATGCCGATCCACTAATATCTYTGCTGTTTGCTGTCACTGACGCCTCTAGTATATATTTCTTGTTTTAGATTTACTTTCATTTTATATTTTAATGTATTTTTGTCTAAATGTAGTTTATATGTACATGTATCTTGTCTCAGGCTGAGCTCGCGTGGACTTCGAGTCTTTTCCCAGCCTGTGCAAAGTTACTAAAAAAAAAAAACAAAAAAAAAAAAAAAAAAAAAAAAAAAAAAAAAGAGCCCAGCCTGTGCAAAGTTACTAAATAAAAAAAATATAAAAACCTAGATTTTAAGAACCTGTAAAGTTAGGATTTTCCATTTAGACTCCTTTAACACATAAGAACCTGTTTTAGGCTAAAATTTCAAAACCATGTTCTTAGAAAATTAGGAATAAAATAAATAAAGCTCTACAAAGTAAATTCCATACAGAGTAGATTTAAAGTGCATATCAGTTTTCGTATTTCCTTAGAATGCAGTCATTTAATGGAGAAGCTTTTAATGCTTAATTTATAYAAACAATAAACCACACGTAGCAAAAGCGAGTCGCTTTTTTCTTAAGAAAATGAGAACCTGCTTACGAACCTGAATAGTCTAAGTTTGCAGTAAACACAATTTATATGTGCTTATTTCAATAAAGTTAGTCACCTGAAAAGCTATAAAGCTGAGGCCGACAAGGATTATGGGTAGATTCACTTTACACGTTCAACCGCTTGATAACTGTTCATCGACTTGCAAATCTTTTACCGGTTACAGTCTCACCTCTTCTGAGCATCATCGAGCTGCAGTTTGTATTAAAAAAGCTTTGTATATATATGCTTTTGTGATATGAAAAGTTTTCCATGATGCTCAGTGATCTCAGCTTGAAATAAATGTATATACTTATTTCAATAAAGTTAGTCACCAAAAACCTAGAAAGCTGAGATCGCTGAGGATCATGGGAAACAATTCATTTCAAACAAGTAAAGCTTTTTTGATACAAACTGCAGCATGAGGATGCTCAGAAGAGGTGAGACTATAACTGGTAAAAAAATGAGCAAGTTCATCAACAGTTATCAAGCGGTCGAAACATGTAGAATGTATCTACCCATAATCCTTGTCGGCCTTAGCTTTATAGATTTTCAAGTGACTAACTTTATTGAAATAAGTATATGAGAACCTTTTAAGGCTAACTTGGAAAAATCTGTTTTGTTTCAAAATTTAAAAAGCTCATATTAATTCTTATTTGTTTTTGTTCAGTTAGGTGTATATATCTGCTGTGGCCTGTTATTTCTTATTTTAGCTTGGTTTCGTCGTAATTTAATTCTCGTCTAGTTGAATATTATATAGTTTGAAGATCTTGTAATTATCATTTTAATCCCTTATGTATATTTAACAAACRCTCATAGATGTCCAGCTTCTGTCCTCTGATTGATCATAAATGACGTCTGACGTTTTTCTTTTTCTTTAGGAGAAACGTGCAAGGAGTCAGAGTTTATGGAAGAAAAGCCTGGCAGCTACCTCCGAAGTCACGTCAAAGAAACCTTTCAAACGGAAACAGCCTCACTGTGCCGAATCATGTGCTACCTTGATGGCGTATGCATGTCCTATAACTATAACCAAACATCCGGTCATTGCGAAATCAATGATTCTGATCACTTTCTGTATCCCGAGGACCTGGTCAACAAAACTGGATATACGTATGTTGGAACAAAAGGTAACTCTTCGACAATATATTATGCTAATCAATTGAACTAATTTGCTGAGGGAAAAGTAATTTGTTGAGCATCGTTTTAAATAAATATATTTACCATATTTAATGATGTGACTCTATATGGATTTATTATTCTACTGTCTTCCTTTTGCGAGTTTCAAATCATTTTGTCCCTTTTAAAGTATCTATGAGATGAGCTACGTCTTTCTTCGAATACGGATGTTTTGGGAGAAGGCGTAAATCAGTTGTTTAGTGCGCGTCCTCCAGAGCTAGAGTTCCAAGGTTCGATCCTCTGAAGCTCAATAACTGTTCCGTCTTCTCCATGTTCTGTGTAGCTTTAGCTTTAAGGACGGTGCCTACTATTGTCAGCGCGCACACTTACTGCGCATCTACATGAACTTAGATTCCCGTGGGTTTCAAAAGCAAAACACTCAAAGATACAGAAAACGTCGGCTTGGGACGAATTTAAACGAAAAAGAACTGCAAAAATAACTATTTATTTATGTAGTCAAAGATAGATCACAAAGTAATCTTCAAGAATTCGAATGTTTTTTGACGAAAAATCATATGTTTTTACTTCCTAGAAAAGGCAGTATCGATCGCCTTGGATCGGTGAATAATAAAAGAACGTTTTCAATATTTCCATACAGATAAGCTTAGTTTGTTTTAAAGTTAAATGAAAATTGTAAAGGCATCACACATTACACCAAATCTCAACCATTCATTTAGGTTTTCCTACAAGTATAATTAAATGAAATGAACTTTTGTCGTTGAAAAGACCTCGTATTATATAATGTCTTTCAATCGCTAAAAAATATATACTTATTTCAATAAAGTCAGTCACTAAAAACCTAAAAAGCTGTGATCGCCGAGGATCATGGGAAATATTTCATATCGAACAAGTAAAGCTTTTGACACAAACTGCAGCAGTTGAGGATGCTAAGAGGAGGTGAACTTGTAACTGGTAGAAGATCTCAAGTCCATGAACAGTTATCAAGCGGTTGAAACATCTAAAACGCATCTACCCATAATCCTTGCCGGTTTCAGCTTTGTAGCTTTTCAGGTGTGACTAACTTTATTGAAATAATTGTATTCAACAACGTTCACGCAAAAGTATATACTGACAAAGAAAATTATTATTTTGATTTATCAAATATGTCTCTTGCACTAGTGAAGTTAAAAACTAAAACTGAAGCTAAGTTTTTATTTTACGAAAGTTTTTGCCTGGTTCTTGCTTTGCATGCACGACTGCCGTGAAACATTCATAAAAAGCCGTCCTTTTTCCGACTTAAAAAAAAAAAAACTTTAACATACCATTTTTTAAGGAAATCTTTTCTTCTACACAGGAAGTAATTATTAATTATTATTACTAGAATTGAATAAGTTTTCTGGTACTTTGAAGGCTTGAAATAACGCTTTTTTTCAGTTCTGCTTGTAAAACCACGAAGAGATGAAGGACCTGCTGCAAACACGCTTAAACAGAGCTGGTCATGCTATTTCGTAACGCCGCGTCACGCTTGTCACGCTTTTAGCACACGATTTATACTCAAAAAATGCTTTAAAAAACGATAAAATTTTAAAACGCGTGGGTATCCCCATTTTTTTCGTCTAAATTATAAGAGAAATACTCAGATAACTTTTTATACCAAAATTTCTAAAAATAAAAATGGTGTTGGATGCAAATGTAAGCAAATTTGTATTATCCCTTCAGAACCATATTTCACACTTTTGAGGGCAAAATTTGGTTTAAAAAATGGTTTCTTATATGATACATAAAAGTTTATATAATTGATATAAAGAACACAACTAGTTGTTTATTTGAAACAAGTTTCAGATAAAATCTATCAAAACAACTTCGAAATATGATAAAAAAAGATGCGTAAAAAAGTGTTCGCTTATCTCGCTTAGATGCGTGGGTACGGCTACCCCCATTTTTTTCCCCCGCATTCCAGTGGCCTCTTGGGTGAATTAAATGATTGGCACAATTTGAAAATAATAAAAATGGTTAGCGTATGGTCCAACACTGATAAAACTAGCCTAGATCGTCTTTTGAGGCTTCAGAAACGCGGTGCACGTATAATTCCCAAGAGAAAGGTTAGGGATTGTAGTTCAGCCAGTTTACTTAAAGAATTGGGTTGGGTTTCTTTACCAGAGTTTTTGTTTTGCTATTTAGGTTGTAAATGTACCTATGATTACTTTATGAGTAGTACCGCTTAATATCGTCACGTTTGCTGCCTACATCAAACTGACACAACATGACTAAAGTCTAAGTAGGAAACTCATGTGGTTTATTTAGGCTCTAGGCATTTCCTTTCATTACAACTTATTTTTAGCTTGATTTAAGAAAGGATTTTCTCTCTTTTCAATGATCTATTTATATAATTTAATGTAATTTAACATAAAAGGAAATGTGAATAAAGATGTATTGTATTATTGTATTGTAGGGTGGGAACCGCTGGGTTGCTACGAGGATAGAAGACATCGCGCATTGTCGGTTTATCTCGGACAAATTAAATTCGATAATTCAACAGGAGGTTTCAAAAGAATGTTTGAAGAGTGCAAAAAAAAAAGCAGAGGAGAAAGGGTTTGAATACTTTGGAATACAGTATAAGACAGAATGCTGGGGATCACCTAACGGAAAGGAGATAACCTACAACCTGCACGGTTGTAAAAACAACTGCTTGCGTCACGATGATGGCTTTGGAGTTGGATCTGATTGGTCTAATTTTGTCTATCGCCTGAAAAAAGGTAACTTTCAAATAGATGTCTTAAAATGTAGACTTTATTGCGAGGTTGTACTGGTATGGTACTCCATGTATGGAACAAACCGATGCATCACAAAATACATTTGTTGGTAGGGATCAAAATAATGCCTCTAGGATAGCAGTGATCGCGCATTGTCGGTTTATCACGGACAAATCAAGTTCGATAATTCACCAGGAGGTTTCAAAAGAATGTTTGAAGAGTAAAAAAAAAAAAAAAAAAAGCAGAGGAGAAAGGGTTTGAATACTTTGGAATACAGTATAAGACAGAATGCTGGGGGTCACCTAACGGAAAGGAAATAACGTACAATCTGCACGGTTGTAAAAACAGCTGCTTGCATCACGATGATGGATTTGGAGTTGGATCTAATTGGTCTAATTTTGTCTATCGACTGAACAAAGGTAACTTTCAAATAGATATCTTATAGTATCGCGATTCACTAAATAGGTTCATATATTTCTCAGACGACAATATTTTGTGGTATTGTCGTTTCAAAATTAAGGTTTCTGATAGGTTAGGAGCGCGTGCTTTATGAGATCACACAGCACGCGCGCGCACATTCAGCTGCTTTGTTCCTATCTAAAATAACGGTTATCCGGTTAACAGTTTATGATACTCTTTTATTATTTTGATTTCGTTTCGGTATGTTCACTTAGATTGGAGCGATTGTAAAGATGGATTCAAATACAAACTTGTGTCGAAACAAGGTACAGGCTACGAATGCCCTTTATACAACGTTAAGATAGAAAAGTCTGCAACTAAAAGAGAATACTAAATGTCCAGGTAGGTGTCTTTCCTCGGCTACGCCTCGTGGATCCACACTACTTTGACAATGTGATGACGAAATTTATCGTCGATAAGAGGACAGACACATAAAAAACTGGTGTCTATTTGTTTTTACAATAACCTCTCTTTTATAGTGATCAAAACAACAAACACAAAGAGCGCGCGCTCGTTGACGTCAGCTTTATCTGTGTCTTCTTATAGATGATAAAAAATAACCTATCAGCACGCGAGAAATTTGTAAGTTATTGTAAAAAAGAGAGTGGTAAATTGCCTAGGTGTATTGCGCTAAGATATCAAACTGAGTGTGTATAAACACGTTTACGCGTCAGATTAGAGTTTTACGCCACTGATCGGACTAGATAGCTCAGTGGTAGTATACATAGTAGTCGCGGTAGGTACTATTYGTGAATGGCTAAAGGCACGTACACACGGTGCAACATTGCACGCAACATTGCAGGAATGTTGCAGCTTGTGTCTACCCGTGAAACGTGTTGCACGCAACATTGCATGCAACAAATTTGAAGTTTAATCGCGCTCTACTCTTGCAACATTGCGTGCAACATTTTGAAAATTCCTGCCAATCAGCTTACACCAAATGCACAACCGCTGACCAAATTCCTTATCATAGTAGACGTACACACTCAGCACCATTAAGGCATGGCTCTTTTGAGGAAGTGATGGAAAATCAGTTATTTATTCATATCTTTGACAGTTTACTATGAATCTTTCTCAAATTTGGCTCGTAGTAGTAATTCTTCAAGGCAAGCAATTACCGCATATCTGTTACAATGGAAACCAGGTCACGTGACCACAAGGCCGCCATCTTGGATTTTTTAAACAAATCGTTTGTAGTCGTATTGAAACTACTTCAAATATCCTGAAAATCCATATTCCTTTTGATATTTGSAATACCTATATGGATCTAATTGGATATCTTGGAAATTATATTAAGTTTAATTTTTAGAATATTTTCTGTATTTTCCAAAAAATCAAAAATATTCTAGAAATTAAACTTAATATAATTTCCAAGATATCCAATTAGATCCATATAGGTATTGCAAATATAAAAAGGAATATGGATTTTCAGGACTTTTGAAGTAGTTTCAATACGACTACAAACGATTTGTTTAAAAATCCAAGATGGCGGCCTTGTGGTCACGTGACTTAGTTTCCATGGTAACCAAGGCTCTAAGGTTCCTTCTTTTCACAAAAGACATTAACTTGCCAAGTTTGGGTAAGATTCGTAGAAAACTGGCTATGGTATAGCCAAACAGTTTTTCATCTGAGAGCCATGCCTTAATCATGCTGAGCAAGCGATGTTGATGATTTTGTATGTCACCCCGATTCAAATTTAATTTGTTCCGTGCAATGTTGCACCGTGTGTCAGCACCTTAACTTTACAATAGCTTCAACTGGTTTATTGTGTCTTTCAGGAAAAACGTTCCAGAGTTGAAGACAAAAAGGAATTCCTTAAAGAATTGGCTTTGAATACATAAAAAACAATGGCACAATTATTAACGCTAAAACTGTCATAAGGAACAATATTGGAAATTATTAAAACTRGTAGAATTGATTGTAACTTAAGATAAATAAATCGAATTAAAAGGTCCACGCATCATTGCTTAGTTTTGGTCATCGTCACTCGTTTTTCTTCTTCTTGATTGACTTAAGGTGGAACCAAACTAATTCAGAGCGAATTTTGGAATTTTATTCTCGCTCGCTTCGCTAAAACTAGTATGTCATTTTAACTGGATTTTTCATAATGTGCTTGGATTATCCTAGATTCTAACTGTGTATCTTATTTTAAGTTTTTTAAAGTGTTTAGCCTATTACGGCCGAAAATCAAACAGTGTTATTTTTAGTTTTCGCTCTGAATAGCGTAGCGCAGCCGTGACGTCATAAAAACGAAGCCGACAAAGGCGAAATTCGGACAAACAAACTTACAAGTTTACTTTCAGCAGATAATTTTCACAGCCGATAGCAGTTGATCTTAGTTCACATGGGTTATTATTGTAACTTTAAGTAAAAATAATAAAATCGGTTCGTATAATCCTCGTAGCGGTTTAACAGAATGCAATGTTGGTCCGAATGTTTAAGCTATTTTTAGAATGAGCGCGCTGAGCTATTATTAGTTTGGTTCCGCCTAAATTTGTCTCRATACGATGTTGAAATGTGGTAATAAGCGACAGGCGAAGAGCAAACAAGATAAGTAATTCCAAGATCAAAGAATAGCAGGAATGACTTGTGTTTATTATTATTATTTTTGTCAATAACACAGAGGCCTAGGTTGCTGTTGAGGTAGTGTTTTTTGTGAGAGGAAATCACTAGTATACACGACTTTCAAAAATGGCCGCCACACTCGGTTGGGACTAGGGACAATTGAATGGAAGCGAGGTAACTAAGGCCACATTAATAAGCAAAGTCTACTCTGTACGATATTTTGTGTCAAAGTCATTCACCCTTACTTCAATAGACGCTTAAAAGAACTCGAATTGGTAAGATGAATGACTTTGACACAAATTATCGTACTGAGTAGACCTTCTGTTTGCTAATGAGGCCTTACTTACCTCGCTTCCATTTAATTGTCCCTAGTCCCAACCGAGTTTGGCGGCCATTTTTGAAAGTCGTGTATGAGTTTAGATGTATGCCCATCACAGTTCCTTTTGGTCATGCAATCGCCAATCGCCAATCACCGATCCCTATTTGCGGTTTGTCCCGCTTCAACCTTTTTTAAAAATAGCGATATAATATATGGTCATCGATGAAATACAATGTTGGTGGATTTTTACTATTTATTGCCATGCCTAAGAATTCTTACCAATGGTGTTATTTTCACATGTGAGGCTATCACTTCTTAGTAATAGAGTAACATAGATATTTCATCGATGATTATGGATTCAGTGAAACATGAATATTTAATAGAGAAAAAAGGGGTTACAGGCTTTATACCCGTTTTCATAACTACTCACTATCCGGATAACTTCCTCTTAATCCAGTCGTCTGGGTTTCCTTCTTCCTTCAATGGGATTTTCAACGGTCTGAGCTATAGTAAATTCTTGATTCACGACAACCAAAAACCCAGCCGTCATGGGCCGTGTTGGTCGCGTGATTATGAACATGAGTGTAAAAACTTAAAAGTAACGGGAAAGCTTAGTTCTATAGTTTTCATTTGCAGTTTCCTCATATGAGAACGTCAGCGCTCTATTGAAAAATTTTCCATTATTGTATCAGTTGATATAAACTATTAGAGCTGGACAATAAAAGCCACCATTCAAGTTCCAGGTCAGTGATTCAAAGAATAGAAATAAGTTTCTAAGAATTACGTCATATATATGCCATTCTTATACTTTATTGGTTTAATGTTACATCACATGGCATGCATTTCACTCGACGGACATGTACGGTTCTTAATTCAGCTAAAAAGCGAGAAAAAGATTTATTGAACGATTTTAAACACCAAGACGAATGCCCCAGTTACTAAGAAAACTGCTAAAACTGATGAACAAGCTATGAAGATAGTAAAACAAGTTTAAGGTTTACAATCGAGCTTAAGACACGCAAAGCTAATCTGTCTAGCACGATAGTATGGAGCGTCTCGGCGTGTTTGTATGGATATTGGTAGTTACCACAACTCATTTATGTGGAGGAAGTTTGTTGAAATCTTGTCAGGAACTGTGTTGTTTCACACCCTGGAACAAAACAGTATTTGATCTTCACTTTGAGGTAAGACAAATGAATTGTAATATGATGTCTGCAGGCCACGAAAAGTCAAAACAAACCAGAACCATTTGAAATCATAAGCACTGAATAAGAAGTCGATCTTACAGAGTTTTAATAGGTGTATGGTTGGTTAAGTGAATATATATTATTTAAGTGGGAATCTCTGAACGATTTGTATGGAACGAAGCTATTTTCACGCAGCACCTTTTTTTGGACATGACTAAAAGCGTGCATACGCCGTTGAGCTGTAGTCATGGAAATAACCCTACAACGATTGATACGTGAAAACATTCTACTTTCTATCCCAAATATCAACATAATTTCATTGTAAGTACACGGGAAGAGAGCTCTATTCTATGAAAGAGCTAAACTATTAACAGTTATACAAACGACAATTCAGTTCAAAGCCAAATGTCACTGATTAGTATGCTATTTATTGAAGTGCCTGATTTACATCTGTTTTTCCAAGAAAAAAACTAAAAACTTGTGATAAAAGTTTTCGTCTTTGCTATAATACGATTTATTGATTTGACCTTCAAACAGTGTCGTAACCAGTTACCACAATTATTTCGAGTAAATGAAAGTCAATAAAGTAGCTTAAGAAATCGTTCGTCTGGAGTACATGAAATATAAAGTAGACGCTGCATTTAGGATGACTGGCGTCAAGAGATTGTGTGACGGGYGAGAAGTTGTCATTTCGACTCTCTATACGGAACTTGGAATATAATAGATTTAAAGCTATTTTAATCTGGAGCTTTATTCAAACCACTTTACAAACAGATAATAATCTTTATGTGGGAAACCAAAATAATATGTTATCTTTTCAAAACACCATTACATTGAAAGACTGTGCAACGCGAGGGATCTCAGGTCTGTCGAGCCACTCGTTTTATTGAACCCCGTCCAGTCTTAGACGAGTTTATACAAGATGAGTGTCAGATCTAGCTACACAAACTATAGCAGAGTCAGGTTGACCAGAAGGACTTTCCTTAGTCGGTGTGGCTGTCAGTCGGGATTCCTTACTCGGCCACAGTCCTTACTAGGTCTGTACCTTCCAGTACAACCCGAAATACGACCTTAGACTTGTTCACAACTAAGTGAGTACAAGATTAAATGCACAGAAATGGTTAAATTGCTCGTCCTTTACAACCAGGTAATCTGATCTGAATTTTTTTTTACATCACGTATCTAGACAAGTTCAACTTTAGTGGTTTGAATGTTTAAGTTAATCTGAAAGAGACTTGTAGAACACGAAATTACATTTCGTAGAGCTGTCCTCTGGGTAGCTCATCATAGTCGGAAGACGGCTAACACATATATTGAAGCCTGAAACAACCGTCTAGGCTGACCATATTTAGGCATTGCTAATTCACAGTATGAATTGGAATTTATAGCGTGTTGGATTCGCAGAGGGATGAAAACTGGAGAACCGGGCGAGGCTTAACTATAACAACGTATTACTGTGCTAACATGTGATGACGAGTTCAGACATGCATTAATCAACCCGAGGTTGAATTTGGAGTTGCAGTGCATTTTCGGGCGGTTTTAGTGGACAAATAGACGCTAGTATTGGAAATATGTCCCCTAAAACAGCCCCAAAAATGAACTGCAATGCAAACTCGATCCAATTTTCCCCTCAACCTCGGAATGGCAAATTGCCCTATAACACTATGACGAAACATCAAAATAATCTATTGTTTTAACGCTAAGGATCATGGTCACCAGAGGGGGCAAAATAGCAGCAAAACGAATTAAATCACAATAAAAAATGGTTAATTAGACGTGGAAAATTTGTACTAAATATCCCGAACGATAGAAAATTTCACCTAAATTCCTATCATTCTTGCCCATGTGAACAAGCGTCATAATGTTATAGGTCAATTGGTCTTGTTCGTTTCTTATTGATGTCAGTTGATGTTATTATTACTATTGTTTTTTAATTTTTTTAAATTTTTTTTATTTTTTTAATTTTTTGTCTGTTGTTGCTGTTGTTTATTTGTGTGTGCTGTTTTAGCTATTCGGTTTGTTGTTTTTCTTTATAGTTATTTGATACTCAATCTATTTATTGTTAATGTTTCTCTCTAAAGATTAACCACTCAAAGCCATATCAGTATCGAAACTTATTTTAAAGTGCAAATCGAAAAACCATGGGCACCTAGAAATATTTCAAGAATGTTTTTTTAACCAATCAGAAGTGTTATTGTAATCTTTCGTTATCTTGAGGTTAGAAAGTAAATTCTGATTGTCTAAAGAACAAGAGAACATTTCTGGAGTATTTCTAGATGCCCACGGTTTTTCGATTCTCACTGTAATCGTTAATAAACACTGAGTTAAGACAATGAATCCGAGCGCCTTATCCCGACAACGTACTAGAATTAAGAGTTTACTAGTCACCTTTCTATCTTTTACATATTCATGCATTCTAAAGCTATTTAGAGCTTTTTAAAAACATATGACGTATTTCTGTCTTCAAATAAACACAAAAACTGCTAAAATAAAGAGGAAAATATTCTGCTCCTCTCCTCTGGAACTCTTTACCTTCTCCAATTAGAGATATTTCCAGTTTATCTTTATTTAAATCTAATCTCAAGACTCATTTATTTAAGTTTGCTTTTTCTTTATAATCATATTATCTATCTTATCTATTTATTCCTTTAACGTTATGTTACTAAGCGCTTAGAACAGACTTGTATAAGCGCTATATTAGCCATGTATATTATTATATATTTTTATTGTATATATATTATAATATTCTCAGTCATCTAGCCTGGCCTGAAATAATCAAAACTCTAGACAGCAAAAGAAAAACGTAAAAAGAGAGGAACTAAGAAACTTTTTATCGCACTGCTGGTGACCGGGGAGAAAAACGGTTTTTGGCCTTTCGCCATAATAAGGACAGCTTTACGTATTTAAGCTCAATACTTTGTAAACACGTTCTTTTGGAGTCAAATTAACAGCAAAATATCAAATGCGACAAAAATTTATTGAATGCGTATTTGTACGGTGGCCGAGAGCGACAATGAAGAAAGTCAAAGTCAAAAAAGTCAAAGTGATTTAGGACCATATTACAAAGTGAGTTTGTCTTTTTGATCAATTTCCTCTTGTTATTTTGTCACAAGACATTTTGACATTTCGTCTCAAGCGACTTTGTCCTTTGTCACAAAACATTTTCTCTTTTAACGTTTTGCTGTCGAGCATTTTGTTATGAAAGACTTTCGCTTGGCCGTTTCCCTTTGGCCTCCGACATTTTGTCTTCACGTAATTTGTCGTAAGGGCCTAAAGCAAAACAGCGAAAAGTCAAACTCAGATTCAATATCAAGGAAAAAAATAATCCTATTGTATTTTTAATTAGTAGTTTACGACAAGTTAATTAATATCTAAATATGTCATCACCTTTGAGCGATGACCAGCGCAGGCGAATGGTTCTCAGATTACAGATCTGCACAGATCTACGACCGACAACGTTTTTTGAATAAGGTCTATGAGGGAAAGATCAGAGAATCTGACTTAGAATGAAGTTCACTCCGTATTGCTTTATTTGCAATGTTTTCTGTCCTAATTTTACAGAAAGGAAAAAACGATACTACAAACTGCCAAGAATGTCTCAAAAATCAAAGTTCAGGTAAATGAAATGAAAATAAGAAAAATACATGAATAGTAGATGAAATGTTTTTGTTTTGAAGTTTATAATCACATATTAGAGAGCTTAAGATTCTCGTTTACGGACAACGTGAACCGTCAGTTGACCACTAAAAAATTCTTTAAAATTAGTGAAAAGGAATCGCAAAAATCTCCAAGCAGTAGATAAACAAAAGAATCTACTACTTTTGTCTTTGTCGAGAAGGTTTGCAAAAGGTAAAGTGAAATGTAGGGGAACGATGAGAACGTGGTCACGTTTGCCGTTTGCGGGAAGGAAAAACGGGAATCTTGATCTAGCTATTGAAAGATAACGAACGAACGAACGAATAAGCTAAAGTAAATGATTTTTTTTTATTTCATTCAATTTGAGGGTCACAGAGTTATCAGTGTTTTTAACTACTGTTATGTGTTTAGCCTCTGGAAATAAAGCCTATTATTATTATTATTATTATTATTATTATTATTATTACTATTATTATTAATCTTTTCAGATGCTAATGTAACTCTGCAACAGTTATGCCCAAAACAGCAGATCAACAGAACAAGTACAAATAAAGAGATTGACATATCACGTAAGCATGCTTGCAAATTGTTCTTAGAGCTTTTTAGACAACGATATTATTGCGATTTGAAATTATAAAATAAATTAAATAGTACGCACGCTGTGATTGGTTGATAGCCATGTTTGCATGAGGGTATGCAAACACAGTTTTGACGTCACAACTTTCGTGTTTTCCCGGTACAAGTTCAAAAATTTACAGTTTGTTTCGAGGAAAAAAAGCCCCCAAAAATGTATTTTGAAGACGAAGTTCCAAAT